CTTGACACAAGACCTCCATGCCTTCTTATAAAGGCCCCCCAACCAACTAACCAACTAACAACTAATTCCTAAAATGTTCCCTTCTATCCTACACACGTTATATCCTATCACATTATATTCTATCAAGATCCTACATAAATTTGCTAACAACATGGAAAATGAAAGACCAAGTCATGTGATTGCAAAGTAAAGAAGTTTTCTGCCATTCTCCTATATCTCTTGTTAAGAAGTGAACTTTAAGTCTAACTCAACCTTATAAAACCGGCTTGTAAGGTGAGTGTTGCAATTAGAGGAAGAATTTCCTAATTAAAGAAAATATATGTAGAATCTTCTAGTTTATTTTTCGGTATATTCTTTCCTTATTTTCTTTTTTGGAAGATTAGATTGTTACAAATAGGTGTAAGAAAAATGTAATAGATATGAATGATAATAATAAAAATCATTCTCCTTTTCAAGTGTGAGGTTTGCACCCATTTATATATTCTAAATTGACCTTATCTCTAGTTGACATAAGACTTGACATTAATGGATGATCCGATAGCAAGTGAAACACTAAAACCCAACAAACAACAAATTTTGTTAGGACAAGTTCTAACTCATGACTCTGATACCATGTTAAGAAATGGACTTTAAGCCTAACTCAACCTTACAAAGTCAGCTTGTAAGATGAGGTTTGACCCCACTTATATATTTTAAATTGATTTTATCTTTAGTCGACGTGAGACTTCCAACATACCGAAGCAGAACCATTAACTTTTTATTTTACCTATAGGACTATCAATGGGCTTACATTATATCATGTCAATTTCCTTCAAAATTTCTAAACCATATTTTCTTTGAGATCACAAAGCCTTCCTTTGATTGAGACTCCTCAATACCAAGAAAATATTTTAGTCAACCAAGATCTTTGGTTTGATATTGGTTGAACTAGTATGTTTTCAATTATGAAAATTTAATAGCATCGTTGCTTATGATCAGTATTTCATCAACATAAACAACTAAACATACACATTGCCCAAGAGAAGTATAGTAGTAGAACATTGAATGATCTATTTCACTTCATTCCACCAAGTGTTTGTTTTCTCTTTCAACTATTCCCTTTTGTTAGGTGTGCAAAGGCATGTGGACTGATGTAAAATGTCATGTGAAGATAAGAAAGATGATAGTTTGATAAGACCAGTATTTAGAACTAGACAAAAAGAGATACTTTTTATTCCAAGAAGGTCTATTCCTTACCAATGTAGTAGGACAATAGACTATAACAACAATTACAGCCAAGGTACTTTGAGAGGCCTCACTCTCCACAAACTTTTCCCACCGAAACTAAGATACAACCACCTAACCTCCCCACACACCTAAAACAGACTATTTATAATGTCTGTTACAATTACAAAACATAACTAACTGCCTTGTTTCTTTCTTCTACTATAAACAATGCCAAACCTACCATAGTTCAAAGGAAAAACATTCTTAGGCTATAACTTCTAAAAATTTTAATAGTTTTCACACAATGATTCTTGATCTTATTTGGAAGATAGACAAAGAAATAGGTAAAAGCTCAAATCTATATTTCATTAATTATACCTAAGTACATCATGAATATTCATCAATTAAAGTAATCAAAATATTTTTAAACCAAAAGATGTAACAAAACTTGGAACACCAATATTTGAATGAATGATACTAAAAGTTAAGTTACATCGTTCTTTAGTTTGCTTTCAAAAGGAAAAATGAACACGTTTATACCCCACTAACATGACTTTCACAATAACACTTCCAACTTATAGAGACTTCAAACAAAAATTTCTAATTTTGATATACAAGAAAATTGAGAAAGCCATGAAGTATCAATTTTGATCATTGAGAAGCTTAGGAGACAAAACAACACAAGACATATATGGTTGTGATTCAAAATAGTAGAGACCCCAAAATTCAACATCTTCACCAATCATTTGACATGTACCAAGTTCCAAAATGACAATAGAGTTGGGATTCAATGTCACAACAATTTAAAGACTTAGTTAACTGAGAGGGGTTAAATTAAAAAGACAAGGACAAAGAGAACAAAATTTAGATTTAGTGAAGATGAAAGTGAGACTTGACCAACACCTTTGGAGTCAAGATCCATCAACTAAAGTAATGAGGTGAGCAAATTTAATTTAAGGGTTCTCGTAGAAGAAAATAAAAAAGCATTACCAACTATATGATCAAAAACACCTGAGTCAATAATCCATGGATTTAGCTTAGCAATTGATTGACAAACATGTTGAAACACTAGAAGAGGAGGAAGACTAGGCTTTATTTGCGGTTTTCCATTGAAAATATTATTGAAAGTCATGTTCATGGATTTTAATTTCAGACGTTTGAGACCTAAACAAGTTTGTTTCCTCTTTTAGAAAGCCATGAAGTATCAATTTTCTTGAGTACGACATTCTTTTGCAATAGGAGCACTAGAAACGACCACCTCTTCCTCAATTTCCATGACTCCTAGGGAAGATACCATTGTTGAGGATTCAACCACCTTGGCTGAATTTTCCCTTTTTACAAAGGTAAGAACACAAAGAAGGCTTGTAATTAAGTTGTTCAAAGAAGGAACTTCTTGACTGACCAAGATTTGAATGTAAACTCTTCAGGATCAATCCCATATATAGCTTGCAAATTTTAGTTTATTTTTATCTAATAAGTCAACATCTAAGAGAACTACAACTTTTCCACTCCAACTTGGGGTTGAGCAAGATGAGTAATCATATCATGTTTGCCTATTTGAAAGAAGCCAACCTATAGAGTCGTATAGCCATTGTATATCATTAGCAAAAATACTCTATGCCTTTTTCCAAAAGAACAATAAGTTCTAAAGGCTTTGAGAGTCCCTAAAAAATGTGGTTTCTCAAGTTGACACAGTATAACACATAATTGAAAATCTTCCATTGAGCACTATTCTCTATTGACCCTCCATTGTGCACTTTCTTCAAATGTTCATGGTGTCCTTGACCAAGGAACCAAAGTTCTACAAAGGCAACCAATGATATACATACTTTTTTCATTGAGTTTCTATGTGGTAATGGTGGTGTTCACTTACAAGCCAAACAACCAAGCAAAGGGCAACATAGAGAAAGATGATGCTTGAAACGGACTAGGAAGCTTTGACAAGACCTGTGGAAGAGAGAGATACAATGACATTCCAATGGCAGCAACCGACACAAGATGCACACGCATGACAGGACAAATTGTGATATTAGGGTGTGAGAGCTCATAAACCAAAGCTAGGATGCTAGACCACTTGTGTTAGGTCATGCTTAACAAGGTGCACCAACACTAGAGTTGTTAGAAGAAAAGGTTTTGGTGAAATTGAGGGTTTCCAACTGTAAGACGACAATTTTCAACAAAAAACATCTTTATAAAGGTTATACAACAAAAGATAATCATTATTCAACAAAGCTCAAATTGAAAGCATATTCACCAACAATATCAACCAAATTGAACAAGTTTGGTGGTTACATCATTGCCTTTGTACAAACAATTCATATTCTACTTGCACAAGATACTATATGTTTCTATAACAAAATCAATAGAAGTGTTTTGAATATTGGAAAATGGATACACCACAAAATGTTAAATGTTTACTAATTAATTAGTCAATTGTATACCTATAAAATATTACACACACACACACACACATATATATATATAGATAGATATAGATAGATAGGTAGATATAGATAGATAGATAGATATCCATCAAGACTATTTGGTTTGAGCGGGCTAAATGATAATGATATTGCAAAGGAAACATTTTATCTAACCAAAGACATCCTTCAAAAGAAGCAATGGAACGAAAGAAATTATTTACATGTTAACCACATATATATAACCACCTTCCCAGGACTTCTAACTTCCCTTTGATTTAAAGGTCAAATGCACAAATGGAAAATACCATTCATTTTTCATACTAGTAAGTACTTTCCAGAAAGTGTAACAAGGAAAGGAGCTAGCTACTAGAGGAAAATGCCTATTCTACAACTTTCTCATAATCAATATTTTCTTTTTGTAATTTGATTTCCTTTCCCTCAATTAGGGACAATAGCAAAAAGAGGACCCTTAATTGATTACCTGATTACTTGCATCATAATAAAGACATCAGGAGTTTTTCCGTCCTTGTTCAGAATGTCCAATAGTATGTTCGTTAACTGCCACAATTAGAGCAAACATGCATATATTAAAAGATAAATTAAAACAAAAAAGAAAAAGAAATAGCAGCCCAAGAGTATATCCATAGAAGAGAAGGGAGATGTTTCCACTGTGAGGGTCCCTACAGCCCAGGCCATAGATGTCCAGAAAAAGATATAAGGATAATGATCATGGCTGAAGATAAGGAGGAAGAGGAAGGAAAAGAGAAGGAAGAAATGGAGCAGAGAAAGATGGAGCTCTAGGCTTTTTCAGCAGGGGACCTGACACAATCTAATACTATGAAACTACAAGGATGAGTGAGTGGAAAACGAGTGTTGGTGTTAATTGATAGTGGTGCTAGCCACAACTTTATTTCGGCCAAACTAGTGACTGAATTAGGCCTGGTGGTTGAGGAAACTCCTCCCTACAAAGTCAGACTGGGGGATGGACATAAAAGGACAACTAGTGGATGTTGCCATGACCTCTTATTAGTTTTGGAAGGTTTGGAGGTGAAGGAGAAATTTTATTTGTTTGAACTAGGACTTGTGGATCCAATTCTAGTTGGTTTGACGGTTGGCTGTTAGGTGTGAAGGGTTTGTTATATAGGGGGGAGGTGTGTCTTAGGAGGACAGTTTTGGGTTATATTGTTGTAGTGACAGGAATATTACATCCTGCGTGAAGGGAGGATTGCTCCCTTGGTTACATAAGTCTTTGTTACAAGAATAATAAGACAGTTTGGTTCTTTGGTGAGTGCTTGTGTGTGTATGTTGAAGTGCTTATCTGTGTGGGTTCAGGGTTTCTTGCTGCCAAGAATCCCAACATAAGTGATGGCACCACATATCATAACAAGTGAAGAAATAGTGGTGCAAAAATATAAAAGTGAAGAAAGAAGGTGAACAAATTCAATTATTGAAGATTTCCGAAGCCTTTATTTTCAAGATGGACTCTACATGTTTTGACAAACACATTAAAATGGCCTGTTTTGAAATATACACAAACCTGCAATCCATTGGAATTTCCATTTCCAAGTTTTATACTAGAGGATGGTAGGGGCAGGTTACTATCACAAAAAACAATAATTCAAATATGATATTCGGATGTGATACAACCCCATCATTAACTAAATTGGTAGAAAACTTCCTTTAACAGCCATGCAGAAATTCCACTTTTTTTAAGTATAGGAATATAAATCTCTAAAGAACATAAAGTAATAATGAAATTTAAATGTTGATGTCATACAAACATTATCTAAATAAATACAATTTGTGCATGCAAACAACTTCATAAAGCCTTCATAGGAAATGAAACTATAAACATTATAAGACTGACAAATTTCTTGTGGCAATATTCTAACTCAGCTTACGGGTGTCCGACATGGCAATGAGAAAACATAATTTATTCATTACCTTAAATCATATAACTATTATACATCTAATCTCTATTTTGGGGTCAATACAGAGTGTAACAACAATAGAGCTTTTAAAAGGGTCCGTAAAAAAGGAAGATTAATATGCACATTTGTTTAGCAGAAAATAACATAATACGAATTTTATTTGGTGGTAGTAACTAGGTAAGTCAATGAAAATGAAGGGTGTAAATATAATTTAAAAGAAATATGCAGTAAAAAATTATTAACACGAGAAAATGATCCTGATCTACATTCGACACCAACTTAGGTCCATATTCAAATATCACATGCAACCAATTTCTACAGTGACTTATGCTGATAACTCAATCCAACATCTCGAAATCATACCGTCGAATAATTTCATTCCACACAAAAACAAATGGCATCTGGAATAATAACACAAAAGCATAGTAAAAAGAATTAAACAACAGCATACGAACTTTAACATGCATGACATGACACTTAATACCTCAACAAGTTTTAGGTCTGCAGCAGCATGAAATGCAGTGTGATATGCTGTAAATGGTCGATTCAAAAACCCTCCACGCCTATGAATATAATCTGCTGTTGGTAGGTTGTATAATTCTTCATCACTAACACCCATCATCACATTCTCAGCATTGGCACTGTTGGTTTCATCTGAAGACCACATCTTTGACTTCTCCACAAACTCAATAACCTTTTTCCACAGAATAAAAGTTTAAACATCACTGGACAAATACAGCATATACGATTCCAAATAAAAACATAGGTAAGATAACTACTTTTGCAGAAAAATCATCAACAGAGGTGTCTTATTCTTGTGTGCAACTATAAGCCCAGCATAGCAGAACTTGTTCAATCCCAGACCAGCAGCTATCATATCACGGACAATTGTATACCTGGATCAATACATTTCAATAAATATAATTTAAATATTCCAAAACCATATAATTATCTAAGTGACGAGTTGATGATTCTGAAATACAATTTGTACTAAAAAACAGAAAACTAGAAGAGAGAAAACTCTTACCTTACACAAAAGACAAGAAAAAAACCAGGTTTTACGTGTTAGGCCATTAAGAGTAGAATTTCACAACACACTGTTTAAAATAAAGCAACAATCCTTGGACATTGAATGACAACAAAAAAGCATTGTAAAAAACAGACAATGGAATTATAGAGAGCAGGAATTAAGGGAAGAAGTAATTTATAGTAAAGTATTAGATAGTGCAAGAAGTAGATTGCAACATACACTCGGTCTATGCGTCCATCGGCAGCACAAGCATTTAGCAAGCAGATGTAGGTTTGTACATTAGGCTTTACTTCCATGCGTTTCATTTCCTCCAAAATCTCCATTTCAAACAAAAACAAATAAATCATATATCTAAAGAGAAGGAAGCAATAAAATAAAAATAGTAATACTTCAAATCCTTGACTACAAGCAATAGTGATAAGTACCTGAATAGCCTTATTAGAGTTCATGCATTTCCCACAGGTCGAAATCAGAAAGTTGTACAAAGTAACCTACGTCATCAACATGAAACAACTGTCATAGACCTACATAGAGGATATACAAATTACACAGCAAAATGTTTTGCGGCCTAATGGCATCTGCTGATACAAACTACTAGACAAAATCATTATGGGGCACACATGACAGCTTCCAACAACCTTTTCAGGCAAAAATGTATATAAAAATAACAAAAGTATCTTCTGGTCTACAATAGCATGGAAACTTGAAAAGATTATAAAGAATAGAACCTCAAAACCTTCTGTTATCACTCAAGATTATCCATATTCTAAAAGTTATTACAAAAGGAAAGAGACCCGAAAATAAGAGTTTACGCAGCAAACTAAAGACATTGAACTACAACACTTTCAAGAATAATCATTCCACATTCTCATCTCTTCCCCTTGTTAATAAACTCGGGGAAAGCAACAGAACTAGCCCAATATCTCAACTGCAGATCCCATTATATGTCATTAGTACCAAATTGAATTTCAAGCAATGATATCAGTTTCTGCAGGTGATGATCAACCTAAATTTGTTAAGCACCCCTTTCTCAGCATATAAATTCAAGTATTACATTCAATATCAATAGCTCCACTCCAACACCTCGTCCCACCTAAAATGGAAAACTATTCAAGCAAAGTTATGAATAATGATAAAAAGACAGTACATACATCAGGGAGCAAACCCATAGTTTTCATTTGGTCCACGAAGAAGAAAGCATCTTGCATCCTAGCTGCTTTCATAGTTCCCGCAACAAGGGAATGGAAAGTGTCGCGCGAAGGTTTCACCCCATCAAGCATCATATCTTCATACACATCTCTCAGCAAGAAAGTCCTACCAAATAAACCCCACATGCAAAAATTCAGCCTTGGCAAAATTAAAAAAAATGGGATGCTCAGAATAATTAATTAACCCAAATTTTATTTTATTTTTTAAAAAAAGGAGACAAAACCTTCTTTTTGAAGTGAGAGAGCCCAAAACAGTGTTATACTCGGAAACGTTGTTTGCATAGTTTCTTCTTTGGCGTACTCTTCAGTGGAAACGGCGAAGAATCGGAGTCCAGAAACCCGATTCAGTGACCCGACACGCACAGCATAACGTGATTGAACTACGGAAAGAGAAATAAAGAGAAACTGAGACTGAAAAAAAAAATAGTTGTGCAGCATAACGTGATTGAGGTATGGAAAGCGAAAAGAAAGAGAAACTGAGATTGTGAAAAATAGTTTGCACGTTAAAAATGAAGAAGAAGAAGAAGAAGAAGAAGAATATACCAATGAGAGATTGAAGGAACTTCATGGCATAGAAGTGGAATGAATCACTTCAGAAGGGAAGAGTTCCAATCTCTCTTAATTCTTCCTAAAACCCTTGGATTTTGTCTGTGTTCTTTTTTGGGGCTTTCGTTTGTTGCTTAGGACTGTGTTTCGAGACTGGCCTGAGAAACTATTCTCGATGTTTTCTTCCTGCACCCCTCATATTTTCTTTTACCACCCGTAACATAATAAAATGACTAAATTATTTTTGTCATTATACCCTTATTTATTTAATTCAAAATTATGTTTAGAACTACGTATTTGAAGTAAAGTTTTGAAGTATCCAGTCAAGAATATGATTTTGGAAAGTGTAATATAAAATATGTTATGAATTCGAGATCTAAGTACAGTTTTAATTATATAATCTAAATATAATTTGAAAAATAAGTTTAAATGTTATAATTTAGAGATATTTTGAATTGTCTAATTCATAATGTAATAAGCAAAAAAAGAAACTGTTTTAAATTATTTAATTGGTAAAGCACTACTAAAACAATAATACAAATTTCTAGAAACAACAAATTCAAAATATTTTTTGGATATATGATTTTAAAACACTTTAACAAAAAAAAAATAAATATAAAAAATTATACTATGAGTATAAGTATCATTTTATATTTATAATATTAAGTTTTACCTAAAATCTAATAGAATTTATCTTTATTAGATTAATAGGGTTAACCTTTAACCTAATATAAAGGTTTTTGTCGAACCAATCATAAATATTCAATCTTAAACTTGAAATGTATAGATTTTAACATAAGGGTGTGAGTGAGATTTTATATTAATTATAAATAAAGTCATATTACAATATAGAAATTGATATAAGTATATTTTATGAATCTCTTTTATAAAGTTAAATTAGACCTAAAAATTTATTTCATAAAAAAAATAAATTTATATAAATATTTTAAGAAAAACATCATAATTATTGAGTATAAAAAACTATGAAATTAAAAAAAAATCTATATTTTCATACTCCTTTCAAAAAAATTTTACAAGATACCAATGTATAGTTACTTTTATTTTTGTCTCTCCACTTTGCTAACTTGGATAACAAGACTAAAATATTTTTCATTAAGAGAAGGATATGTGACCACTATTATACGAAAATCTTCTCCATTACTAGAAAGACACATGGTTACTAAGAGAGAATTATCTTCATTAAGAGAAGAACACATGACCACTACTCCCAAAGGAAGAAGACCAACACGTCTTTAACTTTTCTCCCAAGGTGGTCTAGGTGGATGTTGACTAAAAGTCAACTAACAAGAGGCGTTACATATGAATCAACATTGAGAGTTGAATTGTGTTGACTCATGTTAACCAAAACTCTACACTAATCGGTCCATCTTATAAGGCTTAAAAAAGAAATCCTATATTATTTGGCCTATAATACAAGGTCTAAAATAAATATACTCTACTAAGAACTCATTGATGACCCATGATAATAAGAGCTTGGACCCATCTTTCATAGATTACTCCTACTCTTCTTGAGTGTGTTTGACTATGGCTTAGGGGTAAGCCATCAACGGTGGCCAACGTTAGTTCTTTTTTCCATTAACATTTTTACCTCAGGCTTGATTTTTGCTTTCTTGAAGGAGTTTCATTGTGATTTAAAAGAAAAAGATAAAGATAAAATAATTGGCAATGCTATGTCTTTTTCTTATTAAATTTTTTCCTTTAGGCTTGAAATTTAATTTTTCTTTCAGAAGTTTCATTGTGATTTAAAAGATAAAGAAATAGAACAATGACCAAAGTTAACTTTTTTTCTCATTAACCTTTTCTCTTAAGTTGGACGAGTATAACTTGTTTGGATGAACTAAATTTCGAGGATTTGCACAAACAAATTTGAGGAGTAAACTTTTTTAGGTCCTCTTATGAGTGAAGATATTAGAAGAGAAAATTACGTCACTCTATGCTTAATTATAAGACTAATATTTTGTCTTGTTTGCTTTTTTCATTATCCAAATCATGTATTTGCATCTCTATGTTTAATATAATTTTATCAATTATTTAATTTCTCATTAAAAATAATACCTCGCATTCACAATAACAATAATATTGTTATTTAAACTAATTATCTCATCCAAACATTTATTCACTAGTTGCAGAAAGGCCTTTAACGTCACACTTCAGACGTTTGACCACCGAATAGCTAACGTAAAAACTGATCGGTGGCATTGTTGTAATTAAAATCACTATTTAAACGTCGGTCCTGCCTGCAATTGGACGCCAAAAATAGACGAATGAATAAAAATATTAATATTTTAATTGGCTTTAGATGTCCGGGTTAGGATACCCGACGTCTAAGACCTATTCAATCGTCGAGGCCAACCATTGGACGCCAATGAGGTAGTTAGAGTTCCAAAAGTTACCATTGAGACATCTGATCCCTCCACACCGACATTTAAAGTCTTATTTAGACGTCGGCCCCTCCTAACCCCGTAGCCAAATGTGTCCACTAAAATTATATTTTAAACCTTTTAGATGTCGGCTAGGAGGGGTCCCGACTTCTAAAGTCATTTAAACGTCGACCCCTGTAATTGGACGCCAAAAATAGAAGAATGAATAAAAATATTAATATTTTAATTGGCTTTAGACGTCGGCTAGGAGGGGACCCGACTTCTAAACGTCTGCTATTACCAAAACCACGAACGCGAGGCAACAGTTACGCGCACTCAGTGTTCATCATCTTTCTCGCGTTTTCTCTCCACGGCCAAAGCTTTTGAGGTTCATTTTCTCTCTTTTGCACCGTTTAAAATTAGTTTTACTCCGATTACATTACTCTTTGGTGAATTATCTTCCATTTGAACCAATTATAATGCGTATTCGTTGCGTTTTGGTGCAGTTTTGTGCCTGTTCTTTGCCGACGATTTTGAGCGTTTTTGGCTGGCGATTCTTGTGTTTTTGAATGGTGCGCTTCCCCATTTCCCTCCATTGTGTTTTTGAACAATGTACATGTAGGCGTCTGATGGATTGCAGAGTCAAGATTCGTTCAGGACATTAAACGTCGGCCGCCCATAGTCAGACGTCTGACTTATACTATACGACGTCTATATACACGTCTGACCTGTACTATCCGACGTCTACATTGGCGTCTCCCAATAAGACGTCGGTGCGGGAACAGACGTTAAAAGCCCTAAATAACATATGTAAATCTTTTCTGCATTAGTGATTTGATCTTAATTAACCCTAAAATATTTTCATCTTAGTTTAAAAAGACTAAAAAAAGTATAACAATGATCATCATTAACTCTTTTTTTCCATTAACTTTTTTCTCTTAAACTTGAAATTTGTTTTCTTGAAAAAATTTCATTGCGGTTTAAAATATAAATATAAAATAAAAGAGTACAATTAACTCTTTTTCTAAATAACTTTTTTCTCTTAGATTTACTTTCTTGAAACTTCTTAACCCAAAAAATTGAGTTTCTTTTGAGGGATTCAAAGAAATGTTAAGAAAGAAATGATTTAGATATATTTCAATATTCATCATATTTAATTCTAGTAGAGAATATCTTTAATATTTTCTTAATTGAATAATTATTCGTCTAACCTTATTATTAAATAAAATAAATCTTTTAAATTAATAAACTATTTTATCTCAAATCATAATTAAAACAAAATAAATCTTCTAAATTTGTAACATCCCAAATTTTTTTTCATAGTGTTTAACTACTATAGGATATATCACATTCGTGATATTACATAACAGTTAACTCGAGGAAACTATATAAATTCCCATTACAATTATTCATAAATAATTTATACTAGAAAACTTTATATATACACTAGAAGAATACCTACTACACTGACCCAAAAGTGTAAGATAAACTTTGCAAACAAAAGGAAAAGTTGAAACGTCATAATCTAAGTTTCAGCTTCACTTCCAACAAGCACCTGTTCTCCGGAGACACCACTTAAGCTCACACCATTAAGGTGATCATTCAAAAGAGAAACATACATAAAGACAAACAACACAAACACAAAGGTAAGCTAAAATATCAAAATATTATACATACATGTTAAAACAATAACAATATACATCCATATTATGAATCAAACAACATCTAAAATAATTCCATGAACCTTGTACTCTAACTATCCGGATAAATGTATTAATGTCGGACTCATGGGGAACCTACACCCGTGTATGGTGAAGAAACTTGCTCAGAATAACAATAACCACAACCTCAACTACCACCAATAATGTCATACACCAAGGTTAATCCGTCAAACATCTATGGCCAAAACCAGTGACTATAGACTAGGACCTCCAACTACTCTTCATGACATAATCACCCATTTCTACTATAGATGGGGTTATTGAGAGTGTAAAGATCATTCCCCAATCCATGAGCCCCTACCTCAATACATTACACAACATAACCAACATAGGATACTCCTCATTGGAATTCCTTTCTCCACAACATTTCATTCACACTTTGATCATCTCATAATACTTTGCATCCAAACATATGAATCCATGAAACATACACAAAAGAACCAGAAACAACCCCATCAGGTATCACAAAGTAGTTGATAATAAAATTGATTCTCAATTGCATAATGAAATTGATAATAAAATTACTTAGGATCATAAGAGAACAATGAAAAACATATATCATATATATACAAGTGAATCTGGTTTAGATTGGTCAGAATTACACATTACAAGTAGCATTAATCGATTAAATTGGTAATCTAATATGTTAAGACAAGCCAGAATTCACATAAAGCAAAACAGGCAAAAGCTGCTCATTTTAATCTATTATGTTACTAACATAATCAATTAGAATAAAGTGTCTGTTTTAATCTATTATGTTACTAACATAATTGATTAGACTATAGTTTTTGTTTTAATATATTATGTTAGTGTCATAATCGATTAAAACCAAAAACTATGGCCAAATCAATGATTATGACTTTGCACACTTTTCCCACAACTTTATTTGATTCTTAGGACCCTCTAAATGCAGAGAAAACTTAGAAAATACCACTCTAACTCAAAATAACCATGAAAAACTCAGCAACTACTCTAAACCATCTAAACTCAATTGTATACCTTTCATACCAAATTTATGAAACTTAACAGCTTGAACAAGTCATAAATGACTTTATGACAGACCCCAAAGCATCCTACATACCCAAGACTTTCTAATTCAAAATCTCACTAGTCAAAACCCCTTCAAAATAACTTCAAATCAAGTTAAACTCAACATAATTTACTGTTAATAGTTTTACTTCAACTTTCTACCCTTCTCAACACTCAAACAAGTTCTAAATAACCTAATGACAATCCTAAAAGTCCAATTTCCCTCTTCTTACTACTAACTCAAAATTTCCTTTACCAAAACCCCTTAATTATACATAAAACCTTTTAATACCACCCCATTGACTCATATCTAGTTTCATATCAAATTTAGAGGAATAAGGAACAAAAAGACTCCACAAGATTTAAATGGACTAAACATCAACCACAAACATCAAGTTTCTCTCTAAAACCATTCATATAAAAATTCACCTATTAAAATCCCCAATTAAGACCAAAAAAGGAACTGAAACTTACTTGCTCTATTACAGAACTCGATCAAATAGATGTGGAGATTACCTCGCTCTAATCTCCTAGGTATCTCTTAATCGTCAAATAGATGATCGAGGAGTTAAAAAAGTTAGAGATAAGGTATAAAGAACTAAGAGAAAGAGTTTTAGAGAGATGAAATATGTTTTAAGTAATGAGACGAGTTTAAAAACTTCTATTTATATTATTGAATTATTTTAAAATATAATACTCGGTCTCATTATTTTAAAACACATATCAACTCTAATACTCTATTTTATAGATTCTTACAAAATTAAATAAACAATAAATTTATTTATTTTTTACTTAAAAAAATCTATAATCTCATTTATTTATTTTCTTAATTATTACAATTTTCAAGGACACTCCTTTAGGAAACAATCTTTCCCCTTTATGAAAGACAAAATTCGAGAACTTTCGAAATTACTTATGTATGGACAAATTGTAAAAAAACATTCATTATTCATTATTTATATATTGTATATTAAAAAAGTTTAGAAGGAAAAATTTAGACAAACCATGTTATTGTTTTCGTTTAAAAAATTCGTATCATTTTTCCTTTTAAATTAGGTATTTAATAAATTAAGCTTTTTTTTTTATTTATATCCATATATAAAATATCTATCGGCATGATTAGATTTTCAGACACTTCAAAACGAAAATTGTTCCCTCGTACAAGCCAAGGACGCGGGCTATATCAGAAAAAGAACATCAAGAACAGGAATAATTCATAGAGTCTACTACAATTATTTTTGAACAAATTTTAATAATCCTTTTAAACCATGAATAATTAGAGAGAAAAAATATTATAGAGTGCAAATGATAGATACTCGCAATGAACATGTGAAACCAAAATTCTGCACTTTTTACTGCAAGATGAAACCTCCATTACCTAAACAAAGAAGCATGAACTAAGTAGATGCCAAAAACTAAGTTAGTGTTAAAGAAACACGACATATGGTATAACAATAACACAAAACCAAGTTCAGTCAAAAGTAAGCATTCAGAAAAGCATGTCATAGTAATTGGCTTGAGGCAATGCGTTCAAAGGTCCTCCTCCTTGGTGCTGATTTTGATATTCATGAGGTTGACTGCTACAACCCACAGGATTATCACATCCTTCATTAGAAAGTTCCCTAATCAATTCCTCAACCTCCAGCTCACTGAATAGATTGGTTGAATTCAGTGGCACATCAACTGCTTCATAATTCTTATCATAAAGTTCCATAAAATCTCCAAGCAATGGTTGACTTTGAGAGATGTTTTGCAAACAATTGACTTGGTTTGGATATGAGGTGGTAGCAGTAGCATTTTCCTGAGCCATGTTTGACACAGAACTAAACCAAGCATCATCACCACCACCCTCTTGCATGTTTCTCAACAAATAACTAATTTCATTATCAAGTGCCTGGATTGGAGTTTGGATGATTTGGCCGTGTGAGAAATTCTGCATCAAACTGGGTACATTCTTGTGGTTCTTCAGCAATTTAATTCCCTCATCACAAGCTTCAATTTTGGCCTCCACACGAGCACACAAGGCCCTCAATTGATCCTATTCCATGTTCACGAAACTTGGATCCCAAGTTGGGTACTTGATGCTTCTGATTTGTTTATGCACTTTGGAAATCTCAGCTTCAATCATGTTCTTTCTGTTCTTAAAAAACTCTTCAATACCGTAAGTCTTGTGAGGTCTCTCTTTCTTTAATTGAGTTTCATAGTACTTTTGAATCATGGAATGTATCTCTACAGGGTTTTCGGGCGAAGTCACTGCTTCAACATCACCATTACCATCAGCATTATCATCGTACATAATCAAACAGTGCTCACCACCACACCTCTTCGAAAATTCCGAGATTTTCTTCATTAGCCCTGTCTTTCTTCGCAAGAAAGTTGTCTTGCGGGATCTTTCATTGGAGATTTGTTTTAAGGTTATACTTGCGCGACCCATATTCTGCAACACAGCACATACCAAAAACAATTCAATAGCAACCAATAAAACTGAACAGTAACATATAGTAAAAATAAACCTCAGATGAATTCAACAACAATAGTTTCTGTGAAAGTATACCTCTGAAGATGATCGGGGTCACCAACGATGACTCTGGTAAAAGTGGAGGCTTGACTTGCGTGGGAAGAAGATGAAGAAGTGATCTTGGGGCTCCTTTTTTGTTACTCCACGCATCACTCCATTCTATTTTGTGGCAGTGAGAAGAAGATGATGAAGAATTCAACAAGAACAATGGAAGAACAAAAGGAGAATGTGAAGTGGAAAAGTATAAGGTAAAAGAATGAGACTTCTCCAAGAAACCAAATCTGTTTGAAATATTTAATGCACAGTAACAAATATAAAATTTGATACATAAATTTCAATCAAAAATATATCATTATAATCCATCATTCAATGTAATTAGCTTGAAATTAATGAATAACAACTAATTTTTATAAATTGGATTGGATGATTGAAATCAAATTTAGATTAAAATGTTTAAGATGTCACCGTTGATTCAATGGGACAAATATTCTTTTATGAATGATTAGACTTTTCTCTTTCTACTGCATTAATTATTTCTAATTTTTTTTATCATATCATAACAAATGTAGTAAATTCTGTCTTTTAATACTTTCTCACTGATCATCTAACTCTTTATTTCTTTTATGTTTTTATGTCATATTTATTTATTGTCTTTCTTCTAAAATTATATTTTTACAGCCTTTTTTTTTCCTTCTCCCGGTCTAAAATACCAAACTTTATTACTCGGTTGAAATAAGCAAGTAATAAAATTTTAGAACCTATCATTTACCTATTACAGATCTGAAATTTACCTCAATCCAAATTGATCTCATAACATAATTCACTTATCATTTATTTCAAATTTCATGCTAACAATTCATTCTTTATTTTCTATTGTACTAGCATAACATTCAATTACCTTATTTTCATCAAACACATCAAAGTGTGACATTCATTACTCCATACACAAACCTTAAATCAAAGATCCAAACATTCAAACCAATAAGACCAACTATCAAAATTTTAGTTTCATCAAACGATTAAACAGGATAGTGTCCAATGCTGGATAAGTGGCATCCGATGTAAAACCCGAAGAAAATAATAAAAATAGAATTATAATAGTCTAAATTTTTTTGTCGATGTTATAATTATTTTTGTCAAATAAATAAATTAATGTTTGGTTTTCTTTATTTATTATTTTAATAATATATGGTATGGCTTGTATGATTTACATAGGTATTTTTGTATATAACTTTAAGTGAATTTGAATTGGCTTAATGGTATGTGTATTGTGTTGTTGTGTAGGTGGTGTCCAAGACCAAGGGGTTCGACCTTCATAAGACTTAGGTGAGTTTATTTTTCATTTGGCTAATTTCCTTTATATTCTTGCACGAAGTAGGGCTCACGGATGTTATTGTTTTTCTTTTTGGGTGCATGCATGTAGGGCCCATAGGTGTTAATTGGTTTTTCGATGCATGGACGAGTGAGGCCATGGTTTAGTGAGTGAAAGTTTATGTAAAGAGAAGAATTAAATCACGTGAATGCTTAGAATTGGGCGAACAATATAGCAACATTTTCTTTTAGAGGCGTGCTCCTTGCACCTCCATAACTTCAGTTGCACCTCCATTATATGTTATTACCCTTACATTTTGCATTGGTGTGTGAGTTAAAGAGAGTTAATGATTTAGTAAAGATAGGTTTACTTTTTTACCAACCAAGGATGAAGTTCGATATACATATCTGCACTCCCTGGTTTCGACATTCACTTTACATTTCTTATTCCCTTCTCTTATTCTTATTCTTTGTTTTCTGTGTTGTGCATTCCAGTGATTTCAGTGATAGTCCTTGATAATTCTCCAAACTTACATATTTTTCTGTGTTTAGGAGTGTTTATTAGATTCTTTTAGTTTCTTATTGTTTAGAATTAAGATAGATTTAGGTTTTTCTTTAAAATCTTAGTTTTGTAAAATTTTAGTTAAAAATAGGTTTTTAGGAGTATATATTTTTAGTCTTTGTTAATAAATAGGAAATTAGTATTTTTGGAAAATATTTTAATAAAAATTCTTTTCTTTATTTTGCTTAAATAGGTTTTTAATTTTTGTTGTCTTTGTCTTTAATTTCTAATTGCTCTTTCTGTTCATAGTTGAAATGAAATTCCAGGATTGGGCCTTGATTGGGCTGGCTGTTCTACACTATTGGATTTGACGCTGCTGATTGAAGACGCTGTCGGGAGATTGCTCCCTCCACCACCCCAAGTACTTCCTACACCTACTCACTATTTTTTTAATTCCAAAAATACCTTACGTTAATTTAACTTTTACCAAGTAATCCCTACACCTCCTCACTACCAAAGAGTTCGACAGTCATACCCACATCAAGAAAAACTACATGAGGCTTTGATTTGAAGAGCCGCTTTCGCGACTTGCTCTAAGCCACTCGAACAAGGATATTTGTAGGATGCATGTCTGCATGAATGAAGTTGTCCACCTGAAAGAAGACATTGCAATGTCTAGGAAGTTAGAACTTTATAATGTTACAGTTTAAAACTATTACCAGAAGTCAAATTTTTTTCCGTTCAAATTAAGGATTAGGAGATGCATGATCAGATTACTATTATCAACAGAACTAAGACGTTCCTTCAAAAAACAAACTATTATTTTGGACAAAAGAAAATTCAGTATGACTGATAAGGCAAAGAAAACTCAATAAATAATATACAGAGTAGATCTAAACAACCAAAAGGCCATGTAAACATCACCATACTTCATGAATATCCAACAAAGAAACCCTCTAAATCTAATCTATAATGATATGAAAAATCAGTTTATCACACAGTAAAGACAATTTCTAGAAAGAGTTAATAATTATTAAAAGACATGGTTTGCTATTGTTTTAAATAAAAACAAGCATTACAACAATTCGTGGGAGATTTGAGGTCATCAATCGTGATGAGTTATGCTTTATGTTGCAAAACAAATAAAGATACTTTACCAGAAACATTTTCAGAAGTACGTGAGTCCCAATATGAGCAATAGAAGATTTAAGCCGTTCATGTCCTTGAAGATCATCAACATAATAGGCGACACTCTCACCCTTCTCATATGTTTCCACCAAAACAGCGGGGTGCACTAGTGGATAGACAAGCTTAGGGAAAGAAGCATCCTTCCATCTACGGAAATTATTCTTGAACGAATGTCGAGATCCGTTTGTCCTTCAACGGATGTCAATATCCATGCATGGATGTTGACATCCGTTTAAGAATTCAACGCATATTCACATCCGTTTAAATATTACTGAAGGACAAAAAAGGAATGAGGAGGTGCAGGGAGCAATGTGTGGTGGTGGAGAGAGTAACTCTCCGCTGCCGGGCTGCTACTGCTGCAATGGAACTCCAACTTTAGTGAAACACGTCTTTTGGCTTGGCTGCCACATTTTGAGTACATTGGGCCATTGGCTGGATAATTGGAAGTTGCTCTTGATGGGATACTGATGATGGTTGATGAAGAGTGGGCCGTTGCTGCCACAGTTTGGGAATTAGGCCTGCATTGTAATTGATGTTGTGCGTTTTGAAGGCTGGCAGATTTAGTTGAAAAGGAAATGGGCTTATTCTGCACGGGCCAGAGATTAATGAAACACAACGTTTCAGTCTTAGCAGAAGCTGTCCTGCTTTGGGGTTCTTACTACGCAATTCATTTGGAAGAAAAGGTAGCTTTCTTCCAGCTAGGGTTCCTAAGAGCAATTAGAGAGAAGTGAGATGAAGAGAAAAGACAAAGCTTATGCTCAAGTCACTGATCCTTCCCGGAGAAGAAGCTGCCTAGAGAAGAAGTTGATCAAAGAGAAGATGATAGGAGGGCTGTCGAGAAGATTAGAAGGAGATCGTGAACAGAGGACGTTGGATCAAAGGAGTGCGAAGCGTCGACAATTAGTCCTTTTCACTTTCCCTTTTCCCTCTTTCATTTTTTTTCTTCCTTCTTCGACCCTATAAAAGGGCATGTATATAGACAGTGTGAGAAAAACGCGGAGGCTAAGAGGTTCCGCGAGAGCGAGTTCTAGGGTTTTATCGCGCTTTTAGTAGAGTAGATTCGAGTTCTTGTGCGTTGTGTTCCTACTCACGCATTCTGTTCCGTATTTTTTTGTAACTTTTGTGTTTCATTAATAATACTTCCTTCTACTTTGATATTTCTCTGTGTTGAGTGCTGTATGATTCTGAGTTCGATTTTCTTTGCAATGTTTCTGCGTTCTTGGTTGATTATGTACATATTTTTCATGTTTTGATTTGAAAATGAGTTGAACTCGTAACTCTACACATCTGAAATTCCTTAGGGAATTACATGACTCCGCTGTGAGCATGACTTATTAAGATGTCTTCTCGAGTTAGAGTTGAGTTCAACGATAAAAAAGATATTGTTTTAGAGTAGTTGTTTTACTTTGAAAATTTGATTTGGACTCTATGACTCCACATAGCTGAAATTCCTTAGAGAATTACATGACTCCATAGTGAGCATGACTTATCGAGATGTCTTCTCGAGTTTGGAGATGAGTCCAATAAAAGAAAAATATTGTAATTCATATTTTTGCTTGTGTCAGTTCATTTCAATTAGGATTTTGTATGTTTTAGAGTAGATTGCATTTTAATTGCATTTAGATTAGGTTCTGCATCTAGTATTGGTTAGAAACTTGAATTAGGATTTGAATTTGCTGTAATTTGGTATAGTAAGTAGACATTTACACAATCTAAGTTTTGATTTGGAATTTAAATACCACATAGTGGGTATAACTGTCCAGGATGTCTTCCTGAGTTGTAAATGACTACTTTTCTACACTAATCTTGGCACTTTTGATTCTTATTCATTAGTCTAAGCAACAAATATGTTTCTACTTGTTAATTTAGGTGTTTGTTCATTTGATTTAAGTTTTAGTTAAGAATATTAACATGA